TTTCGATAGAGATTGCATTGAATCTGTAGATTGCTTTGGGAAGTATGGACAATTTGACAATATTAATTCTTCCAGTCCATAAGCATGATATATCTTTTCATTTATTTGTGTCTTCTTCAATTTCTTTCATCAAAGTCTTATAATTTTCAGCGTATAGGTCTTTTTACCTCCTTGGTTAAATTTATTTGTAATTATTTTATTCTTTTTTGATGCAATTGTAAATGGACTGTTTTCTTAATTTCTCTTTCTGGTAGATCATAGTTAGTGTATAGAAGCACAACTGCTTTTGCTTATTGATTTTGTATCCTGCAAATTTATTTATTAGTTCTAACAGGTTTTGGAGTCTTTAGGGTTTTCTATATGTAATATGTCATCTCGAATAGAGACAATTTTATTTCTTCTTTTCTAATTTGGATGCTTCTTATTTCTTTTTTCTTGCCTAATTTTTCTGGTTAAGACTTCCAGAACTATGTTGAATAAAGTTATGAGAGTGGATGGGCATCCTTGTCATATTCCTGATCTTAGAGGAAAAACTTTTATGTTTTCACTATTCGGTGTGATGTTAGCTGTAGGCATGTCATATGTGGCCTTTATTATATTGAGGTATAGTCCCTCTATACATAGTTTGTAGAGTTTTTATCATGGATAAATGTTAAAATTTGTCAAATTTTTTTGCATCTATTGAGATGATTGTTTAATTTTTATCTTTCATTGTTAATGTGATGTATCACATTGACTGATTAGCAGATGTTGAACCATTCTTGCATTCCTGGAATAAATTCCACTCCATCATGGTGTATGATCCTTTTAATTTACTATTGAATTTAGTTTGCTAATACTTCATTGAGAATTTTTGCATCTATGTTCATCAGAAATATTGACCTATAATTTTCTTTTCTTGTACCCTTGTGTGATATTTGGTATCAGGGTAATGTTGGCCTTGTAAAATAAGTTTAGAAGTCAGCCTCCCTCTTCAATTTTTTGGAAAAATTTGAGAAAAATTGGTATTAATTCTTCTTTAAATATTTGGTAGAATTTACCAGTGAAACGATCTAGTCCTGGACTTTTCTTTGTTGGGAGGTTTTAATCACTGATTCCATCCCCTTAGTAGTAATTGATCTGCTCAGGTTTTTATTCTTTATGATTCTGTCTTGGTAGGTTGAATGTTTCTATGAATTTATCCATTCTTTCCAGGTTGTCCAATTAGTTGGTGTATAATTGTTCATAGAGTCTTTTCTGATCCTTTGTATTTTTGTAGTATCATTGAGGTCTGATAATATTTGCTTTATATACTTAGATGCTCCTATGTTAGGTGCACAAATATTTACAAATGTTATATCCATTTGTTGAATTAACCCCTATGTTATTATTTGTCATTCTTTGTCTCTTATTACAGTCTTTGTCTAAAAGTCTATTTTGGCTAATGTATGTATAGCTACCCAAGCTTTCTTTTGGTTTCCATTTGCATGCAATATCTTTCTCCATCCTTTTACTTTCAGTCTCTCTGTGTTCTTAGAGCTGAAGAGAGTTTCTTAGTTTAGCTTTAACCATCAACTATGCATTGATAATTCATAAATGTCTTAAATAAGATATATGTCCCACAATAACCTCAAACTCATTTTGACCAAAAGTGAACTCAACTTTCCCTGGATACTTGCTTTTTCTCTTTTATTTTCAATCTCAGTGAATGATACCACCATTCCAGTTTTCAATTTGGTGCTTTCTTCTTCTTCATGCCTTGTGACTTCCTTCCTTCCTTCCTTCCTTCTCTTCCTTCCTTCTCATGCCTTGACCCCCAACATTAATTTATGACAGTCTTTACATCTTCCCTTATAATTCTCTTCAATCTATCTTCTCTATGTTCTCACAGTCATCACCTTTGCTGACCAACATTAACTATTTCTTCCTGATTGGTTTCCTATTCCCAATATTTTCTCTCTCTAAAAAATGCTCCATATCATAAGCAGGATCATCTAAATAAAAAATATATCCTGTCATTTTATTCTATGTATTGTTTCAATGTTTCTCTATTGCTCTTGGTATAAAATCCAAATTCACCCATTTTTTTTAACAGTATGCACCAGTCACATTAAACTATTTGCAGTCCAAGATGATGCCACAATTCTGTCACCAATAGGTCTTTTTACCTCCAATCCCTTTGCCTAAAATGCCTTTTCCAAACCCCTCTTTAGTGTTAACTTCTGCTTATTTTTCAGATGTCAAATTAGGATATCACTCCCAGAGAAGCAGTCTCAAAATTTTCCAGACCTGTAATGCCCAATATAATAACCACCAGTCATACATACCTACTGAACATTTGAAATGTGGCTATTCTGAATTGAGATGTCTATACCAGACTTTGAAGGCTTAGTATAAAAAATGTAAAATTACCTTGTTAATAAATTTTATACTGGTACATGTGAAATAATATTTTAGATGCATTCAGCTAAATAAAATATAGTTGAAAGTAATTTTTTTTTAATGTAGCTACAAGAAAACTCTAAGTTACATGTGGCTTGCACTATATTTCAATTGGACAACACCTAGACTAAATGAGGAGCCCTATTTTTCAGCATCCTATAATTATTTCTCTAGTAGGATTTATTATATCTGTTAAAATTGCTAGATTGTATCCTGCACTAGACTGCAAGTACCTAAGACACAAGCGGCTGTCCTGGTTGACATAATAATTTCATCACTAAGTGTACTAAAATAAACAGTCATTCCTCATTATTCATGGATTCCATATTTATGAATTTCCTTACTTGATAAATTTACCTGTAACCTCAAAATCAATACAAGATGCCTTTGCAATCATTCGTGGACATGCATAGAACAGTGAAAGATTTGAGTTATCTAACACAGATTTTCTTGGCTGAGGTCAAACAAGGTAATGCTCTGCCTTTTTTCAACTGGCAAATAGTAAACAAGTTTTTTTTTGTCTATCAGTGCTTTTTCACTTTTTTTGTAAATTTTTTTGGTGACTTGGCTGTTTAAAATGGCCCCTGAGAATAGTGATACAGTGCTGTGTAGGGTTTTCGAGCACAAGAAAGAAGGCTGTGATGTGCTTTACAGAGAAAATACATGCATTAGATAAGCCTCCTTTGGGCATGTATTGTAGTGCTGTTGACTGTCAGTTAAATGTTAATGAATCAATATATATTAAATAAGGTGTCTTTAAACATAGAACAAGATTATATATAGTTCAGTTGATGAAAGCGTGACTAGAGGCTCACAGGAACCCAACTCTGTATTTCCCCTAGGAGCAATGATTCAGCGTTTACTGAGTTAGTGTTCCAGTGACTTCACTAGAATCAACTGTATTTATTAAATGAATGAAGCTGGATCATTTGATTCAAAATCCAAATTTTATGTGAATGCAGTATAAGGTGGTAGGTAAAGCAATAATTGTGAAGCTAAACTGCTTAGAATTCAATCTTGGCCTTCTGACTTGCTAGCTATGTGATTCTGGACAAATTACTTTTCTCTGCCATTTTCCACAACTGAAAATGTAGGTAAAAGAATCGTTGTTAATGATTGTCAGGGGCTGCCTGGGGGGGAGGGGACTGACCACAAAAAGTCAGGAGAAAACTTTTGAAATGAAGAAACAGTCTATATTTTGATTATAGTGGTAGTTACATAACTGCCTACATTCTTCAAAATTCATATAACTAAAAAAGGTAAATTTTACTTTGTATAAGTTATAACAATAAATTTGAGGTTAAAACAGTAACAGTCAAGATTAAATAATGCACATGAAACATTAATTCACTATCTGCTTACATAAATATTCTTTAAATATTAGCAACCATTCTAATGACATGGAAAGGTTAGGTGATGTAAAGAAAAGCAGAGTGGGCTCATGAACTGGGATTTTAATCTGGCTCTTTCTATATTAGAGACTGAGCTGTTTATGGGAGTTCACTTGCTTGATGTAAAGGTTAAATTACACAACATGTGTGAAATATTGCGTAAACTGTAGAGCCACATAGGAATGTGAGAAATGGGACTACTCATGAGACAGCAATACAAAATCACAGGGCCACATAAACTGGGGTGTGGAAGTCACCTCTCCACAGTAGGAAAATGTGGTGGGCTGTGAAATGAAACCATGAAAAGGGGAGGGAGCTCATCTCTTTTAAGAACCTTGGTCCTTAATCCAACAAGTCTCTATTGGCTCCAGGTCGACTTTGAAAACAATCCAACCGTTCTAATGAGGTATGGACACAGATAGCTCTAACTCGATGGAATGCCAATGCCAGGAGGAAAAAAGACCTGAGTCTGACAGAACACCTTTCTAGATTGGACAATGTAGGAGGAGTCAGACATAAGCTCGCCTCCACAACTCTAAAATAGCTTCTGGAGCAAAGAGTGAGTTAGGTCATTTCGCCGCTGCTTTTCAGCTCTACGACGTCTCTTGAGTTCTCAACCCTGAGAGGGCTACCGACTCCGGCGGGGCACCCAGTGGCAGTCGCTACCATAAACTCATCATGGGTGGCTTGGGTCTTCCGCGGAGCTCACAGTGCAGAGCTGGGTAATAAAATACCGTATTGGGCTCTATCTCGAGGAGCAAGTGTGGATAGGACCACCAAAGAAGGCTGCAAGCTGGGCCAGAAGTTCGAACCCAAAGTTCCCTCCACAGCCACGCGGTTGAATTCACTCGCCTCTGGAGTTCTGACGACTCGCACGTGACAACAGGCACGCACCTGAGGGCAGGGGCCACCGAGCGCGTGGCTTGGTTCCCATAAACTTCGACTGGAATCTGAACGCAACGAACCTAAAAGTTTGAGAGAGCAAGTTTCCTTGCTGACGAGTTTACCTTCACCATTCGGCCTCCAGAAAGAGCTCTTCACGCCGGAAGTGCACTAATCCGCAGCACGTGGGGTAGCCAGGGCGCTCTTCACGTGACTAGGCGAGGCCTCGGGAACCTTGTAGCCAATGGTAGCCCGAGGGGGCGGTGCCTGTGACGCTCCAGACCTATCCCGGAAGTGGGGCTGAGGTGGGGGCGGGAAAGGGCGGGGAGGCCGGGGTGTGGAAAGTGTGGCGGCCCCGCCCCGTCTCTTGGAACTGCCGCGGCCGCCACCGCCCCCGCCGCCGCTGCTGTAGGGGACCAAAGCGGGTGCGCAGGCGAAAGGCGCTCTTTCTTTGCTGAAAGGTGAAGACATGCGGAAAAACTGGTGGGGCTGGGACTGGAGCGAGGCAGGGCCGGGAAAGGCGGCCGAAGCCGAGTCCTAATGAGGGGAGGAGAAAGGATGGATGGGGGAAACGGAGGCGAGCGCGGGACCCACCAGAGCTCAGGCCCATGCGGAGCCGGGCCAGGCTGAGGATGCCGGCAGGATAAGGGGGCGCATGAGAGGCCGGGGCTACGACGACGCGTCCGGGGAGTGTAGTGCGCGCCCAGTGAGCGAGGGCTAGGTGCTGCTGGCCTGGTCCTGTTATCCCCATCCTTCGTGGGGACGTGCGGCCTGGGCTGGGTCCCCCGCAATGGGGATCAGGGCGGCGGCAGAGGGCCGGGAGGTGCGGCGCGGCGCTGTGCGGGAAGGTCGCCGGCTTCTGCGGTGGGACGATGGGGGCCGGGATTTGCGGCTCCCTGCGCTGGCGCGGGTACCCTCACCCCTAGCTAGCTCTCTGCAACTTCCTTCCCCACCTCTCCACCAAAGGATGGAAAAGTTTGTAGAGGCCAAAGTTAGAAAGTGCCCACTGTTCTTGGGTAGATGTTCTATAAATGCACAAATAATAGATCAATGATGCTTGGCACGTAACCTGTTCGAAATGAGATATTTCTTTATCTTTGTGCCCGTTGTTAAAAAGCAAACAAACTTTTCGCGTAGTTCCCTCGGAAAAGCTACCCTCTCCTCAGCCCACCATGGCGGATGAAATTGATTTCACTACTGGAGACGCTGGGGCTTCCAGCACTTACCCTATGCAGTGTTCGGCCCTGCGCAAAAACGGCTTCGTGGTGCTCAAAGGACGACCATGCAAAATAGTGGAGATGTCAACTTCCAAAACTGGAAAACATGGTCATGCCAAGGTAAGTGCCCTTCCAGGTACGTCTGCGTTGATTTTGATCATTTGCTTTACATTACAGCACATGAGATTTCTATACTTAAAACTTTGAAATAAGCACTTTTTTTTTTCCTTCCCACAATTACTGAGTGATCAGCTATTGCTTTGCATACTGAAAGGTAGCATTTCCTCCTTGGCCCTTATAATGTTTCATTAATTGGGAACCGAAACTTTCCTGAATCTTAGTGAGTTAGGTCTGTTCGTTTACAAATGAGAAAACCTGTTCTAACGTATTTCTAAGAAATCTAAGTTCATCATTTTTCTTATTCACTTTTATAATTGAATTATTTGGCTTAATTGAATTACTGGGCTGTATATGATTTAGATCTTGATATGTCGTGATACTGTTTAGTTGTTCATTCTTCTTAATTCTGTGCCCACTACATTTTTTTAAGAAAGTAAGATTAGATGACCTTGAAGGGAGAAAGAATCTGTCATAATCGTCGTTGGTATTGTGCTCTTGTGTATGTAATGAGTGATATACTTGGCAAAGATTAAATAGGTCTCCTGTTCTCCCTTCTCTGTTAGGTTCACCTTGTTGGAATTGATATTTTCACGGGCAAAAAATATGAAGATATTTGCCCTTCTACTCACAATATGGATGTTCCAAATATTAAGAGAAATGATTATCAAGTAAGTAATAATTTCCTTTAGAGTGCTTCTTGTTTCTTAAAGGTGCAAATACATTCTACTATCAGTTGTAATTCAACAGAAGCCAGGAGTAGTGTAGATTTTTCTACAATTATTAGGTACCACTTATCTTAGAAATTGGAGAAATAGTGATATTTAAAATTTGTACCTTATTCAGGATTATTCTACTTTGCTATTTTTTAACATTCTTTCATTTTTAAAAAGTTTAACACTTCTTGTTTCTCAGATTAAATGACTGCATATTCTGCATATTATGACTGAATAAGTTTAATGTTTGGTTAAATTATTATTCTCTTTGTTGTAAAATATTTCAAATTTAGATGACTCTCTCTCTCATATGTTTTATTTCTTTTCACTTATCAGACTTAAGACTTTCAAGAAATTATTAGAATTCATGTTCCACCAACCAAGTTTGTGTATTAATGAATGTGAGTCAGCATTCGATATTCTTAAATAAATAAGTTGAAAGCCTTAAACATAAAGGGTAAAGTACATGGTCACTGAATATGGTGAAGAAAATTTTTAAAAACTATGTAATTGTTTTATTTCTATTCCATGACCATGCTGTGACCTTTCGTTAAATTATAGGTATAAACTTCACATTTGAGTTCCAATTATACATTTGGATAGGTCATGTTTAATGACAGCATTCTGTTGTTTTGAGTATTGATAGTAACCAAACCATTGACCTCATAGGATGTGGGAGCTTAGATTAATCATAACTAAAGTCTTTCTTGAAAGTCTTCCATTTCTTTGTCAAGCATACCATATCTAGTACTCTTTTCTGTTCATTTTACATAGTGAGAAATACGAGTGTGACACTTAGATTTGTTTTATCCAGTTTAAATTGATTTCTTTCTATACCTTTTATTGTATGACATAATTTTTAAAGAATACTACTGTCAACTGTAATTACCCATGACTTTCTTTTACTCTTTGTCCACATGTAAACATATTTTTACATGGTTTTAATCTAGTGAGCAGTTTTATATTTTTACTTCCCCACTTATGATTTCTAGGTTGCTTTCGAGCCTTTGTAAAAATTTGAATTGTCTTAGTATAATAATAGCAAGTGGTTTGTTTGTTTGTTTGTTTATAGTCAGGCATTTCTGGGTTTGGATTCAGTTCTGCTACTTTCTGGCTGGATGACCTTAGATAAATTACACAACCTCTCTGAGCCTCAGCCTTTTCATCCACAAAAGAGGACATTGTGAGGATTAAATTACCTCCTAAGTTAGATATATACCAAAAAGTAGCTTTTTTCTGCTCTCCCTTTTCCTGGGTAAATATCCCACTTAATCATTCCATTATTCTGGAAACACCTAATTTAGACATGACATATAGTGGTGTTCAATAAACATTTGTTAAATGCATAGGTAATTATTCATTGAGGTAAGAATAGTGTAGCCAACTAAGGCTAAGCATAGAATTTTCTTTTGCCAAAAATGGATTTCTGTTTTAATTCTGAACGTGAATTTTTTGACTATTCAACATTTATGATATTCATTAACATGCAGCCAACATAGAATACTTTTGCTTTTGAATATTTCAGAAATATGATATCAGTAATTCAGATATTACCAGTAGTTCAGATAATTACTACTGTGATTGAATTAGCCAATTATTGATTGGAGCTCAAGATTTAACATAAAGGAAAAATTCGATTTGTGTTTTATTTTGAGATGTAGCAGGGCCTGGACTAGAGTGAAGGGAATGAGGTAAATGAGTCTGTTGTCTAGAGCACAAAATTTTTTTTAAAAAGGTAGGACCAGTAACAATACTAAGCCACATAGGAGCCTAAGGCAAAAGGAAAAATCAGTAATTCTGATTCTATCATTATTTAAAATTTTGATATTTTGTTCATCATGGAATTTTTACATTTTTAATCTTTTAAAATATTGAGTTAAAATATTTGTCTTATGGCTGATACTTCTTTTTGATGCCATTTTAAATTTTTCACCCAAGACCAAGTATCTCAGTTGCCTCACTCTTGTCTCAGTCTTTGGTGTGTAGTTTTTACTGCAGAGTGGATAAGAGAATAACTCAAGCCAGGTAATCTGAGTCCAAACCCCTGCTTCAGCACTAACTGTGTGACCTCTTTTGGCAAGTTATCTAACCTCTTGCCTCCTTTCTTTATTTATAAAATGGAGATAAAAATAATAAACCTTTCATGGGATCATTGTGAGATTTAAATAGTTAATACTTAGAACAGTGCCTTGTAGAGTAAGTACCCAGTGATCACATCCCTTCATTATCAAGTCACCGTAGAGTACTTATTTCTGTTCATTTCAAAAAATTAGTAGTCTACAGCCATGCCACCCTGAACACGCCCGATCCCGTCTGATCTCGGAAGCTAAGCAGGGCCGGGCCTGGTTAGTACTTGGATGGAAGACCACCTAGGAAGACCAGGTGCTGTAGGCATAAAAAAAAAAAAAATTGTTCTGCAAGCTTTACCCATTATATTTATTGTGCTGTGGAGATCTTCACTCATCTATCCCAAGTGCCTTGATTAAATTCCTACTTATTATTTAGCTATATGTCCTTTGTATTTGCTTTATTGAGTATTTCAAGTGCCAGTTTGGCAGTCAGCTAGAGTGAAATATGTTATATATATAATATATTATATACATATTTATTATAATAATTAAAAACTAAATATTTAGGAAAACAAATACATTAATATTTATAATTTTATCTTTATGTATTTTAAAATAAGTTCAGAATGAAAGAAAAATTTTCTCCAGACTTCGATTGCAAGATGCAGCTAGGTTTGAAATTGCTAATTTCTTTTACTTTTCCCCAAAGTAGTTATGGTTGTCTGGAGCTCAGTGATGGTGTAAATGCAAATATATCCAGACACCGTAGGGAATCCCCAAATTTTAAAATATAGAAACACTTGTTCAGACTCTGGCACTCATTTGAATCAAGTTTCTTAAGAAGATTCTATGTTCCTGTATATACAACACAAGTGCCTTTTCTGCATTCACTAAAGTTTTATCTGTCATTTGAAGACCATTTTTCAGAAAGAAAACTAACTGCTGCAGGATATATTAAAGTACATATTGCGGACCTTTGGATTGGTGAATTGCCAAATCTATGAATATTAAAATCATAGTCTATTCTTCAAATAAATGGTATGCTTTTTGGATATTGGCATATGTGAGTTGAATTCTATTGTTACAACTTAAGAAAGAACAACAACAAAGAAAATAATGATTCTGTGAGTTCCTTGAGGTTAAAGTCTTTTTATAATTTTTACCTGTTCTGTGGCATCTTTGTGTTCCCTGGTGGAAGAAGTCTTTCTTTAAGAATAAAAAATTTCAAAACTGGCAGATCCCAGTATTGCAGGAACAATAAGCAAGTATTTTGCTACAGTATCGTTAGGAATAATAGTAAGAAGAGCCACAACCTTTGGTTCCTAGACCTGTATATTATACCAATGGGAGAAATAGTACCATATATTGAAATATATTGCAACCTGTTAAATAGCACCCAAACCCACAAAATATCACTCAGCCGATGGCAAAGATGACACTTTCAATAGCCCAGTTGACACAGGCAAACTGTTTTCAAATGACGGAGTGCATAGACCATTGAATTCTCTGAACATTCTCCTGTTCTCTTTTATTTTGCACGTCAAATGAAGTTTTTAGTCAAATGATACCAAGCGCAATACTGACAGGAATGTGGCATTCTATAAATTCACAGATGGGATTTTAGCAGAAGCACTGCAGGCAGGGGAGTCATTCCTAGAATACCTAGAATAAGAATCTAATGGAATGAGTGCAAACCACTGCCTCTTCCATGACGGAAGGAATACAGAGTCGCCAGGTGGCCTGCTGTTACCCCTGGGGAATGGTACCATATCAGGTACTTGGTAGTGTATGTAGTCAGATCAGCTTTGGTGAGAGCAAGCCTGTGTCTTTGAGTCCATGCCACCAGGGCTACTTTCTTCATAAGCCAATTGAGCAAAGACTGGAAAGACTACATAAAGAAACTGAAAGACATTCACAGATAGAATTATCTTGTCCACCTAATTGTCTCCCTTTGTAACAGATACCCTTTGGTATTCATATGGGCACATTCTCTAACTATTTGGAGTCCTTCCACATTACCATTTCCCCACATTTACTGTCACCAATTTTTCTGTTTGTTCTTTCAGTGTCCTGGACCTTCCACCCAAACTCTTAGGCATTGCCCATAATTAGTGTAAATGCAAACCTCTGGTTCTTTCTTCTTTCACGTCCAGTTCATGAAGCTTTTCTCACCTCCACTATCTTTCAGGGCCCTCTCTGAATAATTTCATCAAATCACGCATAACCATCTAGAAACCATTAGGAATTGTCTTTTTCAGTCAGCAGGTCATAGGGGAACTCCCCATAAAGCCATTGGTATAAATTGAAGGAGAAGTTGTTGATGTAGCAGAAGAGGGTGCTTTCTTAGTCTGAGCCAAGTTCTTATACAACTTGTTTGTGACCTTAGGACCTGCTCGAGTTGATCTCGTATATGCTACTTCCACTTGATGATGGAGTGCTGCTGTGCATACCCAACTTCATGGCTTGGTGGGTCAGATTATGCTTCCAGTTGATGATAGTGTTATTTGCTTAGGTTTTAAAATAATGATCAAGCATTAAGTCTCTACCAGGGACCAGCAGCTCTAAGTAAGCAGCTTGAGAGGCTGGAAGAAGAGGAAAAGGAAGAAATTGAAAGGAAGAGGACTTAAGTCTGGTTGTTTGAAATAGAATGAGGAACAAAATTAAATTCAGAAATTAGGGCTCAGAAGGCACCTGTAGTGATGACATGCCTTGTCTAGCCTTCTGTTGTATACCAATAATTCAAATACAGGCAAAAAAATCTTTATAATTCCCCATTTTTAGTGTTCTTTCTAATTCTGATCACATCCTGGGCAGAATCCGTAGTCACTAACTCTTCCCATATCCTTCCTTTTAGTTCACGCTTTGCTTTTTCAACTCCTTGTGCCTCCAACCATTTAGCGGTTACAGTGCTCTTCACAGAATTCTTATACACCATAGCATTTTTCTTCTTCACTTTTTATTGTGGAACTTTTCAAAATATAATGACCCCCATATATCCATCATCTAGCTTTAACAATTATCAACATATAGCCAGTTTTGTTTCATCTACACCCCACACCTATTTTTTCTTTCTGTACCCCTTACCTCTTGATTATGTTGAAGCTAATATCAGATATTATATCATTTTTCATTTCATCTGAAAATATTTTGTCATATATTTCTAAGGATAAGAACTATTAAAACATCAAAACACACTGTGGCACCAGAAAAAATAGTAATTCCTTAATACCTTCAAATATCTAATCAGCCAATCAATATTTATATTTTCTAAATGTATACATTTTTTTTTTTTTTTTTGCTTTTTGGGATGTGATGGTTATTGTTTTTGTTTTGTAATTTATCTAAATCAGGACCTAAATTAAATTCACACATTGAAACCAAGTGGTGTATCTCTTAAATTTATTTTAATCTATAGCTCTCTCTCATGCACTAGAGTTCTCTCTCTTCCTCCCCCTCTCCTCTTTCAATTTTTTGATAAAAAAAAACCTACATCATTTGTTCTGTAGACTTTCTCACATTCTGTATTTTGCTAATTGCATTTCCTTATTGTTTAACATGTTCCTCTGTCTCATATGTTTCCTGGAAATTGATAATTATATGTAGAGGCTTGATCAGATTCAGTTTAGATTTTTATTTTCTTCCTCTTCTTTCTGTAATACAAACTACTCCATAGGTGATGTTCTGTACAACCATCAGGTAAATAAGTCTGATTGTTTATCTTTTTGTGATGTTAGTAGATATATAATTGCCTCAACCCATTAATTTATTAGGGGAGACAAAATAATCCTTCATTTCTTCATTTTTTTTTTTTTTTTTTTAGCCAGAACACTTTTATAAAGAGCAACTTCCCTTCAATAATTTTTTTGTTTACCCTTTGGTATAGTATATGATAGGAAAGACAATATAAATGCTTAATTCTTTTTGATTACTAGTTTTCAAAATGAATTGGTGCCCTAGTATTCAGTGAAGATGACTAATCAAGTGGTTTTTTTTCCTCTATGAACTTTACCGTATTTGTATTTCAATCCATTGCAGTTACTAAACTTATTGATTCTCAAATTGTTCTATCTTCAGCCAGAAGGACCTTATTCAGCTTAGCTCCTGAGTCCCTGTAATGTGAGCCTAGTGGTCTTGTTAAGCTATGTTTACTAGGATAACAGCTGGCTCCTGGTTCATCTTGTATGCTTTCTTCTCTGGACCTGGAATTACTCATTTTTCCAAGGAACCCTATAGAGAGAAATAACACCTATGGGAGAAATAGCACCATACATTGGGTTATTTTAGTAGGAAATAATAGATGCCACATTCTGGCACCAGTATTTTGTGGGTATATAAATTTCATTTGTCAGTCAGCAGCTTAGTATACTCCTGCATGCCAAACACCTCTATTATAAGTTTTCTGACCCTGCCCTTTCCCATCTCCCTGCTTGCTAATAACAAGTTCAAAGGCATCTTAAAGTTATCAAATGAATAGATTGGTTTAAAGGTAATGATTAGAAGGAAGTATTTAGAATTGACTTATAACTGTCTCCTCACCATTCTTTCCTGCCAACTCTGTAGAACCAGAGAGGGCTTTGAGAGAAGATGGAAAAACAATTGCACAAAAAATGCCTAAAATTCAGCAATGACACCATTAGCTTTTTTTTTTTTTTTTTTTTAAGACTGCAAATTACAGAAGGGAAAATAATACCTTTAGAGTGGATAAATCTGGCAGATAACTCCCTTAGCCAACTGATCAAAGTTAACATCACAAGTAATAGTACGATTGACATCATTTGCCTCTTGGTGGGATACCCAGAGGACACCTCACTTAGTAGTATCCCTCCCAAAAGTTTATTACCTGAATCATGAGGAAATAATTAGACAAACCCAAAATAAGAAACATTCTATAATGCAGCAAACCTGTACTCTTCAAAAATGTCACTGTCAGGAAAGACAATGGGTGAGGAACTGTTCAGTTTAAAAGAGACTAAATTAACATGACAACCAAATACAAGATATGATCCTGGAGTTGGGAAGAAAAAGATGCTATCAAAGACAATATTGGGACGATTGGCAAATTTAAATATGAACTATACATTGAATAATGTATTAGCAATATTGAATTTCCTGGTTTTGAAAAATAAACTGATTATATAAGGATATGTCCTTGTTCTTAGGAAAAATACACTGAAGTATTTATTACTAAAGAGTCATGATGTGTGAAATTTATTCTCAAGTGGGTCAGTAAAAATAAGAAAAGAATAAGAATGTGTATGGTATGTATTTTATATATTTTATATATACAGAGAGAAAAAAATGCATGTGTGGTTAAATGTTAACAATGGATGGATCCAGGTAAAAGATAAGAATTTTGTTGCATTATGTTTATAACTTTTCTGTATATCTAAAAATTTTTAAATAAATAATTTAAGATCAAATAATTCATTTTTATTATTTAATTTTATTTTTCTATAGCTTAGTTTTTTTTGGAATTTTAATTTTATTTCATAAAGCAATTTATTTTAATAAGATACTCAACATACAGATACATTTTACAAGACGTTTTATAATATGTCTATATATTTTTATACTTGAAATGCTTTCTATTTCATCCCACAGTTTATTTTATGAATTCTTAAAATCAAAAAACAATGTACCACCATTATATAAACATCAAAATACTAGTATTACTATTTAGCTTTATGTTTCAGTCACTAATGGCACTGTGAACCTTTAACTCTTAAAATAGACAAGTTCCACTTCAGAGAACTCCTACACTTGATCTTAGCCAAAAGGCCGAGAAGCAATAGGGAACTCCTAAAAAGAGTTGAAATCAGAAAGATCCACCTCAAAGCCTGTAGTTATTTATTTAAAAATTATACTTCTACATAACCTCTTTGCTCCCCCACTCCTCTACCAGCCACCTCACAAATAGTCGAAAGAGATAAAGATTAATTAAAAGTGTTTGCGGTTGCTTTATAGGATGGTTTTTGTTTTTCAGATTTTAGACATGTGCAAAACTAAAATCTCCTATGTTAGTTGGGGTTTCTGTAGAAAGCCAGAGCCAGATTTGGTTGCGCCATAGAGGAGAGCTATGGTGCACCTGCGTTATATCCTAGTGGTAAAAGGGGGTTCGGGGCCATGTCTTTTGACTCCTTTTGTGTGTGTCAGCATTAACATCTGTATTCTGGATAATTGCCTTTTATAAAAACTGTTAGAATTCTAGGCACACTGCTGGTGTACATGCTTTTAGAATAAATTAATGCAGCCTGGCTCTTTCCTCATGCCTATAACAAAAAAGAATCAATTATATCAAAACTGCGCCTTTTGCAAATTAGGTTGATTAGGTTTTGTTTCATTTTGTCATCAACAAGTTAACCTTCGTCTTTTTTTAAAAAAATCTAGTGGTGTTAGCAGTGAGTTAGAGACTAAAAATTTTCCACTTAACTTTGTTCATAATGAAATTATAAAACACATTGTTTGTGATTGTGAAAAACTAAAAATAACTTTTATGCCCTTTAATGGGAAAATGGTTGAGTCAGTTACAGTTTATCTATGCAATTTTGAAGTGGTTGAAGAGACAAAAATAAGTCCATATTTTCCAGTTTGGAAAGATTTCTAAGATATGTTATTAAGTGAAAACAGCTTGCTGAAAAATACATATACTGTTTTTTAAAGAACAACTATATTTGTAGTGTGTACATAAATGTAAATGCTTCAGGATACACTACAAAGAAGCCTAAACTGTTTAATAATGCAGAGACTTGGAGTGGGGGGGTGATAGAGATGCAGGGAAGAGTGAATTTACACTTTTAGTCTATACATATTTTATACTTTTGTTTGTTTAGCATTTTTAAGCACCAAGAATATATTAATGTATCACTGTGTGCTTATACTAATTAATGATTATTGCAATTTAACTATGTAAATATTACAAAGGGGTGGGTGTAATCTAATCAGTGCAAATGATATCATTTCTTTTAATAGCTGATATGCATTCAAGATGGTTACCTTTCCCTGCTGACAGAAACTGGTGAAGTTCGCGAGGATCTTAAACTGCCAGAAGGTGAACTCGGCAAAGAAATAGAAGGAAAATACAATGCAGGTGAAGACGTACAGGTAAAGACACATGAGAAGATTTTTTTAAACCATTTTATAAAAATTTGGCCTAAACTAGTTAGCATAAAATACCATATATGAAATGTAGCTTTTAAATACTGGTGAAATGCTGAAAATGATCTCTATAAGGCAGGTTTCCCATGACATCCTTAGAGACCCATTACCAAAAAATTGTCAGGTGTTCATTTTTGCTACATAGACAATGTCAGCCGCAAATTGTTTTGAAGATCAACTTCTGAGCTACTCTTTTAAGTATAGGAAAGAATGCTATGGGAATATATAACATCTAATAAGTTTGAAACATTTATAGCTTTTATTCTCTCTATTCCAAGGAAGTTGTCTTACAAACTACAATTTGAGAAATTTCACTTTAGGAAACTATAAAGAAAGTAGATTATTTGGTCTTGGAATACCTGTTTCCAAAGTGTATAACATGTCCACAAATGTACAGTATATAATGAATTAAATATATCTTATATGCATATTGCCTTCTGAATAACTTTTGTTTGCATTTTTCCCTTCTAGGTGTCTGTCATGTGTGCAATGAGTGAAGAATATGCTGTAGCCATAAAGCCCTGCAAATAAAAATGGGAACATCAGGCATGAGCAAACTGTTTAGGTCTGGATCAACTGCAGATCTAAAGTTTGGTCCTAAGTTGTCACCAAAGCTATGGCCTTCATAAGCAACCTCATTTATTTTTTGTTATCAAATTGTGCTGAGTTAGTTTTGCAGGCAGTTGGTAATTTTAAAAATATCAAGATGTGTAATTTTTTTTTTAATTTTATAGGTGTTTTTCCTATAACACTCCTGTGGTTTTCCATATGAGTCCAGAAATAGACAAGGTAGCTTTAGCTTGACCAAATCATTCCTGAATTTTAGTTAAATGATAAATAAACCAGGGTTTTAAGTGAAACAATGTAGCTCTAGTGGTATTTAAATAACCACATTTCAGTTGAATTGCTCTGCATTAACTTCAGACTTAATATCATAGAGTAAGTAAATTATGGATTGGAACTGTCACAGTTTCAGCCTGTGTGTGGCAAGCACAAATCCTTAAACAAAAATATTATCAAAAAGTGTCAGTTATCTTAGCAGCCATGTGTACCCACCTGTATTATCTTAGTCCTACTCTTCTTTGCTAAATTGTTGGCCAACTTAATATAATCTTATGTATGGTGATTTTCATACCTGCTTGTGGTTGACAGGCATTAACTGTTGGGCGATTATTAGTCACATTATAAAGAAGACAAGGAACAGCGGCAAAGGGGGTTGATTAAAGTTATAGGTTTTTATTTAAGGCCTTCGTAATCAGCATAAAAATAGAAAGTTTCTTTCTAGTTGTACTTTTGCTTTTAACTTTTGTATTCTCTCTGTTTAAAGGAGTGAACTGCTTTATTGGATACTATGCAGTGCTTTTTGTCAATTATGTTGATTTTTTTAATCAATTATATTGATAAATTATGTCAATAAAAGTTGGTATTTATAGTAGTCACTTCTTTCCAACCATTTGTAAGTAGACTTTTTGACATCAAAATATTTATTTGTAAGACAAAAACTGGAATTCTTACTTCAAATTGATTTGGAACATGTTAAATTTATGTACATTTTTTTCTAAAGTGGAATGAAAGTGAATTAGAATTATGGAAGAAAAGTTACTTTATGTAATAATCATTATTTAACTTAATAAGTACATATGTGTATTTCTTTTCTGATTATCATGTGACTTAATTCTGTTACTCATGTGAAATATAACTAGGAAAGAATTCTATAAACTGAAGTATTTTAAAAAGTGTTTTAGATGATTTTGCTACATTTCTGTTTAGGCTTTTACATTATATATACTTCATTTCCAGAATTCTAAACATTGTCACAGGGTTTGTGAGGACCTTCAACTCAATAACAATAATTATACTGGAGTGAAACTTAGAGCAAGATTACTATTTTAGTAATACCGTCATTCTCTAAGACTGATTATGATACATCTCCCATCATGCCTTGACTTATATAAGGCCTCTATTCTTATCATCTAAAGGAAAATATATAAGATGTTGTAACTGTTCTAATTAGTGACTGGAAATTGCATTAGGAACAGATCTCAAAGTTTTAGTTACTTAATTTGCTCATACTTTTAAGTCTTGTGTTAGCCTCAGCAAACCCACTTGGACAAAAAGCAAGATACTTTAAGGAAATGCAAGGAGAATTCTAAAGCACAAGAAGTGTTGAGGTTGTAGTTAATAATTTTTAGTGTAACATTTTAGCTTTTGCCCATCTAAAGCTCAATTAGGAATTAGGCTAAATTCTTTCCAGTATTCCATTTGAGTATCTACTACATACTGCTCTAGTTTTTTTAGTACTTTGTAATGTGTATCTTACTTGCTACTTGTTGGCATTGTTACCCACAGGAATTCCAGAGAGTTATCAATCTGTGCTGCTTGCTGGTCAAACATATGACCCCAGTTAACCATGGTAGTAGTCTGGTTCAGTATTAGTTATGGATCAGCATGCCCTTGTTCTTCCTAACTCGTCAAACTTCACATAAATATATTTTCGATAGCGAGGTAAGTGTATATAAATTATAATAATGCATCTCTATCTTCATACCTTGAATGGCAAAACCTATTTATGCATAAATATTTCATTTTAAGTACTATAATGAAGTATAAATACTCTGACATATAAGTATAGATTTTAAAGATACGGGACTTTGTTTATTTTCATGTAAGTCAATATATGTTTCTCTAGAACAAAATATTTCATTTAGTAAAGCTTTATAACATTAAAAAGAAGCAGGGAAACATTTTTTAACACAAAATGGAAGTGACTTCATTCTTTTGTGACATTAGAAATGTTAATAGTTGATTATCAGTATTTGTTGTACTTTTTTGTAGCAAATGTTAAGTATTACAGGTTACCATGTATAGAATGTAGACTGTCATGATGATAGATTATACAGTGATAAACCATTTTTGTCTGCAGGCATTTTACCAGTTTATATAATATTAACAAGTGGAATATGTTTCTTTTTAGAACACCATTTTATTTCTACTGTAAATACTTTGTTATACCTTATTTGCTACAAGGTTGTATACCCTCTGAAATAGTCAAATCATTGCTACTTTGACTTAGCATTTGAGTCATAATTATAATTATGATGTTTCTTTCATGCTCCCCTCTAAGGGCTGTCAGTCACTTGAAACTGTTGCTAACCAAGCTCTTGAATCCGTTTCCATTGATGATGCAAAATTCAGTACCAATGCTTTATAACAATTACCAAAACTTGCCTGCAGCCAGAGCATGATATCTTTAGTAGTAGATACTTCAATAAAGTGTTTAGGCTATGAAATTTGGGGACACAGTTTTTCATTAGAGCACAATATGTGTGCATGTGCACACATAGCTTTGTATGTTTGTTCTTTTTACAAAGTCTTTCCAACTCTTAAAAAAGTACTGTAGTCTGGTAGTGCCTCAAATCTTGGTAACTTTTTTTTTAATTTACAACTTTTCCAGAATTTGTTTTTGTACTTTAAAGTTTCTCAATTAGATTATTTCTAGTTGAGCTGTAATTTGAATGCATTGTTCTCAGGGCTGTTTGTGCTAAGAGCTGAAGTTTCATTATTTTAAAGCTAACTGCCTGAAAGTATATTGCAGAATTTTCCCAAATTGTATTACATGCAAATAAAAAAATCCTTAATGTTAACATACTTAAACTATATACTGAATATTCAAGAAAAAAATTAGAACGTTACTAATATCTGTACTGGAATCTTGCCATATTTTTTCATTTTAGAATAGAATTTGATAGTCTTATCTTAGAATCCTATCCTCAGTGATATATTTGAAAGCATTCCTTTAGCATGGACCCAAAAGATAGTTTCAAAGCCAGACACTGATGTAGTAGTACTCAAACATATTTAGGGACAACAGATCGAAATTTATAATGCTCTTTTGAGTATATTAAAATGTTTACATATTGAATTCTATAATATGAACGAGGAACAGACTTACTATGAGAAAATCCGGCTCTTAAGAAGAGCCAACGAAAGGCATATTTCCATAAATAGTATATTATTTTGAACTGATCAACCGTTTAAAATTTTCTAATATCATTTAGGCATAACATTTCACAGTTTTCGAGCCTTTTTCCTCCTGTTATTAAGGCAAGTAATAGACAACCAAGGCTTAAGAAAACTTTTTTGTGGAAAATCTTAAAATTGAGAAAATTCAATGTATTAACTTTAATCTATTAAATTTTTTTCTTCTGAATTGGTTATATGGCATCATTATTTGATTTTAGCAGGGAACATTTGGATTTAACTTATGGAGCACAGATGTTCTGTGGGTACATGGCTCAAAGTCACTATATCATTTAATGTTTTTCCATTAAATAAATATCTGAACATCAACTTAACTACCAAGTGAATGAAGTCAAGTGCCTGAAAAGTGCTGTATACATCTAATTAACACATTTTCCTTATGTGAAAGATGCATCTTATAGCAGTGCCTATCAGGCTTTCACGCGCTAGAAACATAATTGTTGCCAAAATTTTACCATCTACCACTATTCCTCTCTCCTTCAAACAGGTTAAAAACTATGTTACAATTGAAAAAGAGGTTCTTTTATTTATATGAAGTCCCTAAAACTATTTCTTAGTTTTGGTAGAGTTAGATTTATCTTAGTTCGAGATTGCACTTTTGAAAATCTAGACACTAAACTATATTCAGTGATTACTGTACAGCTTGTCATGAGTCATAGTTGTGATCTTTCCTGAAATGAAATCTTTATTGTGGTTAATATCTATGATAAATAAGCACTTGTGCTTGTTACAACGTCTAATGCAAATTACTAGTTCTACACTAGAATAATGAAAATGACTATTATGTACTTTTGTCCTCCTCTCCAAAAAGGAAATAGTTTGAATAGCATTGTCTAATCCAATGGCACTTTATTAGTAATACATTTTATTTGTCTTAGGTGTAGGAGAACTCTTTCTTTTACCTGCTTAGACTCATGTTTTAACTAAAACTTTAAAAGTGTAAGATATGTAGTATTGGTATTGTGCATTTTACATTTCAAAAATGGGAAAAATTCAAATGTTAAGTCTTTGGCTATACTAAAATACTTGTTAGAATCCTTTAAAATGTAGATAGTAAACAATTGTAATTTTTTGTTACATTAAAATGTATTTGTTAAGTTCATCAGTTATATTAAAAATAAAGTTAATTTAACAGCTTGCACTATTGTATATATACATTTCTAAAAACATTTTCATACTAGAAAATTATATGACCTTATATGTAGATCACTATTTTTAAAAAGTCTAACTTTTGTTTTTATTGTGTTTTTATATTCTAGGTCCTTATTAGAGAGTGGCCCAGCTTTATGGCTGGGAATGTTAATTTCTAAATTTTAGTTCCAAATTTAGGTACAATGATGTTTTTATTTTTAAATTTGTAATAGCTTTTTAAAAATTTAAATTAGTTTCAAGTATACAGTACATTGGTTAGACATCTATATAGTTCATAAAATGATCCCCTCAGTTGCTCCCTCCCTCTCCTGGCCAGACAGAGAGGAGGGATGTTGCGGGGCTGGGAGAATGGGGTGAAGGGTTAAAGCAGTAAAAATAGCTTCTTAAATATGTAAAATAGGCACATTGTTTAAAATTCTACAAGTACAAGAGTAAAAACATCTTCCCATCTTCATCCTCTTCCTGCATTCTTCCAGACATATTAACGCAGAAGAGGTTAGTGGGCTCTCTCCTACCCCTGACCTCCCAGGGTCTGAGGTGTTCCTGCCCTACCATGGCTGCTATTCTTTTCCCACAGTGATATGAATGGTGTGATGAGTCCCTGAAGCAAACCCTTCACCCTTTTCCGTTCCTCGCCATGTCCAATCAACACACATCTGGACAGATTCATCCCTAGATGGCTCGGCAGTTTCTTTTCTACACTGTACCATTCTAGAACATCTCTGTGACTCCCTGACATGTGAGCCATGCCAAGACTACTATAGCAGTTGTCACCTTATATCCATGATGAGTATTACTGATACCATAAGCTTCCAGATCCAGCAAGCATAATTGGGCGGTAAAAGAAGCACCAAGTTAGAGTCTTCCATCCCTCAGCTTTGCTCTCTTTTGCCATTTGCAAATACCAATAGCTCTGTTTCCCAGAGGTAGACTTAGGAGGGGAAGTGAAAAGGGACTAATTATATGTTACCTGTCAGCCTGTCTGAGTCTCTTCTCCCCCAGCCCCAACCTCATAATTAAACATTCTATCCAAATGGAAGGTGCCCTGTGGAACTGCCACATTTAGAACTCATACCATCTGTCTAAAGTGTGTTCCACTGAGAACCTAAAACATCTATCCCCACAATACACTAAGCAGTATCAGTTACAACCACTAGGTGTGTATTGGCTGGCTCAAAAGGTCCCACCTACAAAGTTATTATCAATCCGCTGTCTAATTTGAGAGTTATTTCTGAATCCAGTTAAAATAATTTTGGCCACACCCATGAACATGTCCTATCACAATGTCATGTCCCATCCCAGTGTTTGAGAGCACAAAAAAGGCTTGGCAACTTCAGTTGCCATCAGATCTCCAACACAGATTCTAGCTGGGAGAATAGAGGTTCACCTACCTAACTGAAAGTATGTCTACTTTTTTCGTTCACAATTATGTGTGTGAGTTTCACTTAAATTGTCACTCTAGTTCATTTTTTTTTCTTATACCTATTTTATTGTTTGTTGGTTATTTTATTTTTTTAAATTAAGTTTATTGGGGTAACGGTTAATACAATCATATAATTTTCAGGTGTACATTATCATTTGACATCTGTATATTCTGTTGTGTGTTCACCACCCAAAGTCCAGTTTCTTTCACACTCTAGTTCATTTTAATTGCTGTACAATCAATGAAGTACATCTTTTGGAGAATGTGTGTGTATGTGTGTATATATATAGAGAGAGAGATAGATATTGATATAGATATAGATATATAGTGTATTCAGAAATGCAAGAATAGTTAAATATTAGAAAATCTATTACTATAACTCACTCCCATGGGAAATAAATTAATATGTTAGGAAACCTCTCAATAGTATTTACTATATCGGTAAGTCTAAAGAGAAAGGTTATATTATTTTCTCCATAGGTACTGAAAAAACTTTAGATAAAACAGTATCTATCAAAAATATCTTGAGAAAATAGAAGTGCACGAATACGTGTGAAACATAAATGTATTTATGTTTATATATGTTAGCACAGTATACATAATGTGCATGGGTGCATATGGATGCACGCATGTGTACTTATATGTACACATGCATAAATGTCTATGTGTGTGTAAAATTCCAAAAGCTAGCCTTTTACTTCATGGAAAAACACTAAAGGCATTCTCACTAAGGTCAAGAACTAGGCAAGAATGCCCACTATCTTGACCACTATTACATTGTTTTGGAAGTATTAGCCAATTCTATTGGATGATAGAAAATAGACACATTAGAACTATAAAAGTAAAAGAAAAAAATAAAACTTCTATTTTCAGGTGACCTGATAATATACCTCAAAAATCCTAGATAATCAATGATAAAGCTAACTCAAAATTATTCATCAAGATAGCAGAATATAAGATTAACATGCAAAAATAAATAGCTTTTATATACAAAAATAACCAACTAGAAGATATAATAGAAGGAAAACTTCATGTACAGTAGCAATGAAAAAATGTAATAAAATTATAAAGAAATGTTCAAAACCTATATGAAGAAAAGTAACAAACACTCCTGAAAGACAAAAAGTTGACTTAAACAAATGGAAAGACATTTGTTATTCTTGGCTGATAGCTCAACATTATTAAGATGATAGTTTTACTAATTTATAAAATTAGTCCCAATAAAAGGCAGTCCCAATAAAAATACCAACAAACCTTTTTATGAAGTTAAACAAGTTGCTAAAAAGTTTATATGGAAATATAAACATGAAAAGAATAGCTAGGCAAACACTGAAAAGAAAGAGCTATGAGTGGAGACTAGCAGTAGCAAAAATTGAAACATACTACAAATACTCTATAATCAATATAGTGAGGTAGTGGCAAATGAATAGAAGGACCAATGGAATGGAATAGAAAGTACAGAACTATGCCCAAATACATATAGAAATGTAGTATATGATAAAGTTGGTATTGCAGACCACTGGGCAAAGGTTAATTGTTCAACAATTGGGAAAATATATTTGGTAGAAATAGAAGAATTACAACATACACAAGAATAAATTCCAAATGAAGCAGAGGTCTATATAAGAACAATAAACTCTGTAAGTCCTAAAAGAAAATATAAGTGAATTTCTCTATAACTTGGTTTCTTTTCAACTATGACTGAAAATCCAGATACAATAAAAAGCTTTGTAGAGAGAAAGAACAAATGATAAATGGAGTAAAATGTTAATAGTTGGTAAAAATCTAGATAAAAGACATTTAAATGTCTATGTGTTCTTCAGACTAATTTTATAATTTTCAGTGAGTTTGAAATAACATAGTTTTTTAAAATTAAAATTTGTGTAATGCCATTCAATTTTATAGATGTAATTACTTGTGTAATATAAAGGATACCACACACACATTCTCAAATATGTACACTCTCAAAGAATTAAATAGCAATTTCTAAGCAAGTGGAATTTTAGATAATTTTATACAAATTCTTTTTTGCTTCTCCATATTTCCTTTCATGAGCATTTCTTCTGGCATTCAAAGTTAATAATTCTGTTAATTTAAAAAGTTTCTCAAAGCATTTTTTATACTAGTGAAAAATGGAAATAATCTAAAAGGCCACCAATAGGTGAATGACTTAGCTAAAAATGACAATAAAATTAAGCAATGAGAAAAGATGCTTGTCTCATTTTAAAGGCTGATCAATTATTCAGAATTCCTGTGGCATTGTATAACAAGAAAATCTTACTTCTGAAACTACATTTGTTAAAAATAATAAAAACATAATAAATTAGGTTTTCCTAAATACACTGAGAAAAGTTGCATTGAAACAAACATACTTTTTTTAATCATAATTTTAATGCTCTCTAATCAAATTAGTAAAGAAAGGGCAAGCAGCAGTGACTTCAGTTCCTATTTCCCTGCCTGGTACTCTTGAATTTCATTTATGAATATGTAATGAAGAACATTGATAGGTTGGGGGAATTAAAAGCAATATTCTTCAGTAGTAATGTTTCTCTTCAGTGCCTCAGTGTTGTTTGCACAGAAGGCTGTGGCACATCCTTTGTCAAAGCTGTGCAGTTTTCTTTCATAGGACCATTCAGGCTGCAATGTCATTCAAGCATATTTTTCTGAAGAGGTCCAGTGCCTCATAACACTCAACATGCTCCACTTTGTAGCACATGACACAGAAAGAAAAAATACCATAGAAATACTGTGAAATGGTATTTTCTACATATACAAAATATATTTTTTTACAACACTTAAATGATAACATTGATGACTGGAAAGAGAAATTTACAGATTGCTGTTTTATAAATCAGCTTCTAGCAAATAAATGGGGTTTCATAATAAGTTAATATCAGAGATGTAGACATTGTCTACTTTCTGTGTTACAGTATGATCTTTTGTGTCGATAGTAGAGCTTAGGCCTTCCAAACTGTAACACTAAGGATGAGGGATAAGGTAGGGATAAGGTACACCATTTGATTCTGTAAGAAACTCAAGACAGATACAGAGCTGGAGGAAGACCAAATGTATGAAATACAAATGGAACTTGAAAGAGAACTCTGTTCAGACCTTTGTTTGACTAAAAATGTCATAGTATTTTTTCATGGTTCAAAATACATATTGGTAGTTACATAGATAAATGTTTATTAGAATATTACAAACTCATTAAAATATTTATAATCTTTCTGTTACAAAATATCAGTGTGGATTTTAAAGTTTATGTCGACCACAAGGTTTATGTTTCTGCAGGTGTACATTGATTTGCATGTTTTCAATTACAAAAATAAGGTGGTGAGAACTGTCTTTATGACAAATTATATTTCTGTTCTGAAATATAATTTTACCATAAATGACAAAAATGCTTTTGTGTGTGTCTATTTCTGGGCTCTCTATTCTATTGGTGTGTGTGTCTAACCTTGAAACAATATTCAACTGTCTTAATTGTGGAATCATTAAAATAAATCTTAATCCGTAGGACAAATTCTGCCACTTTATTTTTTCCTTTTTCAAATATATTCTGGCTATTCTGGTATCTGCTTTTTCATATTGGTTTGAAAAGAGAAGGGAGGAGAGGAAAGGAAAGGAGAGGAGAGGAGAGGAGAGGAGAGGAAAAGGGGAAGGGAGCAGAGAGGGGAGGGGAAGGGAGGGGGGAGGGAAGGGGAAGGAAAAGGAGAAAGGGAAGGAAAAGGGGAGGGAAGGGAAGAGAAAGGAAGAAAGGAAAGGAGGAAATTAAGCTGTTGCTTGGTATCACATTGAATCTATAATTCAGTTTGGGGAGAATTGGCATCTTTGTTATATTGGGTCTTCCAATTCATGAACATTGAATGTCTTTCTACTTATTGGTTTTCTTTAATGTCTTTCAATTATATTTCATAGTTTTGCATAAAGATCTTTTACATCTTTCATTATTTTTTTCTTTAAGTATTTGATATATTTGTTACTGAAAATATCTCCTTTAACTTTATCTTCTAATTTATTGCTAGTTTATAGATATGCATTTGATTTATGTACATGAGCTTTGTATCAAGCAATCTTGATAAAATCACATTCTAATAATTTATCTGTAGATTCTTTTAAATTTTGTACATATATGATTACATATCAATTGCAAAAATTAACATTATCACCTACCTTGCTGTATAGCATAATGCTGGATATGGTTTTCTAATAATATATCTGTAAATATAAATATATATGTAAAGTATACTATTCATATATTATACATTTTTATGTATAGTATATTTTATATATTTTTTTTCCTGGATGAGATTAAACTATATTTTTCCTCTCTCAAAATGTCCTTTTCAGGTTTTAGTATCAAGGTTATGCTGGCCTCATAAAATAAGTTGATGACTGAACGAGTTTGTGTAAAATTGGTATCTTAGCCTGCTGGCTTAGGCATTGGTTTATTTTAGGAAATGATCCCAGGTAACAGAACAAAAGAACTGGAAAGTGTGAAACTGGGAGGAGCAAAAGCAAAAAAATGTTCTGGGGACAAATGAGGCTTAATCCTGCTGGGCTCTTCCACGCAGTGATATTGATATACTTATGAACTGTCCACTCAAGAGAAAGGGGAAGGTAACAGCAGCCAGTTTGGGGCAGGTATAACTTAATAGCATCTCCCCACATATATCACCTCTACCCCATGGCTTCTCTAACTTGGGGCATGGGAGACTTGTGGGAACCTCCCCGCCAACTCTAATTTACACATGTACAACCTGGAAATGTAAGGGAGTTAACATCCCATGGACCACCATTGACTAATGGAGGACAGGAAACTGGATAAATGTTCCTCTCTTCTGGATTAAAAGGTAAATTGACAGAATGTGAGTTAGAGCATAAAAAGCAGTTGTTACAATTAGCATTATTTCTTTTTCAAATGTTTGGTAGAATTCACTGGTGTTTTTCTTGTGGGTGTTTTTCTTGTGGGAAGGTTTTAATTAAAAGTTGAATTTATTTAAAAGATATAAGACTATTCATATTTTCTGGTTCTTGTGTAAGTTCTAAGATATTTTTCTAGGAATTCATTTATTTCATATAATTTGTCATATTTTGGTGTACAATTGTTACTTTTCTGTACAGTTCACATGTGTTTAGGTTTACTCACAAGCTAGCCATTTTCTTTGCTCACTATTTCTTTTGCCATATAGACCTTTCTAGGATCATTTTCTTTCCTCCTGAAGTATATCTTCCAGAATTCCTTTACCGGGAGTTTGTTGGTAGCAAACTTTCAATTTTGTTTCTAAAAATGTCTTAAATGCATTTATACTCGAGAGAGAGTTTTGTACTTTGTAGCTCTAGATAGACAGTTATTTTCTCTCAGCACTTTGAAAATAATAATCCTCTGCTTCTGGCTTCCATTGTTGCTAATGCAAAGTCGACTGTTAATACAACTCCTGTTTGTAAATATTTTGTCTTTTCTCTCTGAACGTTTTTGAAATAGTTTCATTTGTGTTTTGAAATTTCACTACAATGTGTTTAGATATGCATATCTTTTAAATTATCATGCCTTGGTTTTACTGGGCTTCCTGAATCTGAGAATTCAGCCATTATGTCTCTAAATTTTGCCTTTCGCCCAGTTTCCCTATTACATCTTCTAGATCTCCTATTTGACAGAACTGGGACATTATTACTCTGTCATTCATGTCTCTTAACCTACCTTTTATATTTTATATCTCTTTGCTTTTCTAAGTTGCATTCTAAGTAATTTCCCATTCACTAATTTTCTCTGCAGCTGTGTCTACTCTCCTGTTTAACTCATCCACTCTCTCTAAAGTTTTTATACTTTTAATTTCTAGAAGTTCTATTTTGTTCTTTCTAAAAATTCCTGGCCAATTTTTTTTTTCCTGGTTCCCTTATCATATTTTAAATACTTTAACTTTCAAGTATATTAAAGATACTTATTTTATATTCTGTATCTTATAATTCCAATATATACAGTCTCTTATTTGGGTCTGATTTTATAGATTTTGGGGGTTGATTTTCACTCATGGATGAAATTTATGATTTTCATCCCTGTGTTATTTAGTGGTTTAAAAAAATTGTCAGCTTTCTTTCTGCAAGTTTATCTCAGGGTATTCTTCGTGCTTAGATTTAACGTGTATCTCTCCAGAGAGTATTTGCATTTGCTTCTGCCTGGCACTATCAAACCAAGCACACTTTAAACTACATTTTTAGGTTGCAGCTTTTTCATGCTATTTGAGCAGAGCTAATTCTAGACCCAAACTCCTATCCACATGCCCTTGTCATTTCTGCCTCTAAAAAAATTCTTTTACTTTTCTACCAGCTTAACCATGCATTAGTAACTATTTATAAAATCATACTTTAGCTAGTTTTTTAAATACTACATACATATGAAGGGCTTCCACTGTGAATTTAATCTGCCATATTGTCCTATATTTTATTTTACTGATCTATTCAGGCTCCAGTATCATGTAGATCTAACATCTGAAGTTTATAATACACTAGAAATATGTCTTATCATATATTACAGTATTTTACATTTGAATAACTGGAAGGAAAACTTCTCCCTCATTATTCTAAATTGTCTTGGCTCTTTTCAGACACTTACTATTTCATATATTTTAGAATCATTGTCAAAATATATATCTGTGGGGGCATTAACAGGCACTGTATTAATATATACTGTCTCTGTGTAAAATTTGGGAAGAATTGAGTTATTTACAATATTTAATCATGCCATCTGCATATTTATGGTTAATATTTTTAAGTTTTTTCCTAATTAAGAGAAATTTTTTTTCTATTATAGTTTCTAACTAGTTATTTTGGGATTACTAGTTATTTTGATACACATTGTTTTTAATATCCCCTTTGTACAAATAACTTAATAGTTCTTAAGGGTTTTTTGGTCAAAACATGGAAGGCTGCCAAAAACAAGCAAAAAAATGATAAAAGCCTCAAATAATGACTTAATTTCAAAATATTCAACAATACAAGGATCATTTTACTCTGCAGCTTGGGCAGCCCTTAAGGAGGAAATAATTGCTCTTTATTTTCCCCTAAATGTTTTGAAAAGAAATGAAATTATTGTGGTTCGTGAGGCGAAGAACAAAAAATCTTGAAAATGATTTCTAGGAATTCCATACCTCTATTCATAGATACAATGTATGCTTCTTTAAAGCATAGTTCTCACTATTACTAATCTGTCATAAAAGACATCCATAGTTGTCACTTTCTATGGTCACTCTCCAAATTAAAAACAAAAGTCCACCCCTACCCGCTACCTCTGCCCCCCACCCCAGTGTCATAGTTTCACACACACACAAAAAAAATACTGCAAAACTCTGAGAGGTATGGCACTTTCATGATATGACGTCAATTTACAATCTTTCAAAGCTCAAAACCTATTTTTTTTTCCTTTTGTCAAGACTGTAATCACCCCACCCTCGTGTGCATTATACATTTTAGTAGTTTGGTCTCAGAAAACATTCGTTGAATTTTGACTGGGAGGTACTTAGGTTGGGCGTCAGTCCTAGGGTAAACTCTAAAACCATGATAAAATAAACTATATGCAACATGTGAACAAATGAGCACTACGTGGTTTTCTTTTAAAGGTTTATTTCCCCCAGAACCTAGTTTATTTTGACTCCCCGAAACACTGATTTCCCTCAACAGTCATTTAGAAAATAAGGCATAAACAAAACAGATCTCGAAATAACTTTTTTGCTAAAGGACTATAATTGTAGTAAGATACAGTTGATCTCAGAACGATCTGAGACAATGCTTTGCCCTGATCGAAAAGAAGACCCAGAAGATCAGTAAAAGATTCCTACATCCCTCGGGTGTGTGTATCTGCGTGCGGGTAATTGCGGGGCCGCTGTAGTTAACGCGCGCTTGTCGTCACCAGCGGAAAACCGTGAATCATTTCAACCACTGCCGCTAGGGGGCGCTTCCAGAAAACCTGACTGCCTGCTGACCCTACACTCCCCCGGTTTCCTGGGTTACTGGCCTCCGCGCTCCTCCCCAAGTTCTTTCTCTTCCGCTAGGCGAAGATCTTACGTTCTCGACGCGTGACGCAGCACGCTTAGATATAAATACGTGCCAGTGCGCTGCCGCTTCCTCTCTGATCGCACGGCCGCCTTTCAACATGGCGCCGGTGAGTGTGCGTAGTTTCTCAGGGAGTGTCTTACCCCAATGTAGATGATTTTCGCATCTGGCGAGTTGGGGATTTCTCGTTGAGAGATAGAGGGAGGGTAGAAATGGAGGCTGGGTCAGGAATACAACCAAGATGTTACGGCTCTAAGTTTTTCCAAAATTTCTGGCGACTGCCATGCAGTCTGGTGGAGTTGGAGCTGGGCCCGGCCTTGGCTTAGGAAGGGTGGTCGTGCGGGGCGTAGGGAAGGAGGCACGACGATGAACGGAGCTGGTGGGACAGACGAGACTTGGCTTATTTTATCCCTCGCGCTTGGTAATGCTGGTGCTACCGTATTTATTTACTCTAGTTAGGAAATGGGGGTAATCGGTCGGGTCTGGGCGGAGGGAGGTTCGAGACGCGCGCCACTCCCGAGATAGCCCCGATTACAAAAGTTCCAGAGAACTTTAGAACTAAGTTGGGGAAGCAGTTTCTTCATTACTTCATCAGGGAATTATTGTAAAGGTACAAGCCACACGAATGTGCTTCGAAGATTATAAGTTATTGATCATGCAACCAGTAAGATGTTAAAACCGGTCCAGAGAGCATTTGGAAAATTAGGTGTGTGTCGGACATTTACCAAAAAACGTGTTAGGATAAAATTGCTGGGTTATATACAGAACTGGCGATGCCCATGGAGGCCATGAACCACGTGGGATTATCTGTTCCACAAGGCAGTGTTTCCAACTCCTAAATTAAAGCCCCAATAGAGCTTATATTGCCCAGTTAAACCAGCTCATAGTAATCTAATACAAGTTCCAAATTTTGGATAAATTTTTTGGGGGGATGACACAAGTTCCTCAACTAAAAGCAAACTGGCGGTAGTACTTGATATCCACTTTGGTGGCTATAATTTAGAGATGACATCCTCTGATAAATAGTGATTTGTTTGTTTTCATTACATTGTGTGGATACATATTTTTAGTAGCCACAGCTCCATTTTACTTGTATAGCCTAATTACCTGGTATCGATCTAAAAATTTTAGGTGTGGAAAACTTGTTACATTTTTAAAATTAAAAAAATCTTTACCAGACTAAAGGTTCCCCCGCCCTTCCTTTTGCTCGCTTATAACAACATAGGGGCTGAATTCTCTGTACATTGAGTTGGAATATCCTATTCTAGCATGTAATTGAGTTTGGATTAGGTGTACTATCTGTTCCCCAGCCACAATGGGGATAGCAGTAGTAAAGCGGAACCTGACTATAGAAACAAGTACTTGGTCATTTAAAGTTGGACATCAGTGGTGGAGGGGAGCTCATAAAACATTTCTCGATAAATTGGACAAAGTGGGCTTGTCTAGAGGTACAACCCAACCTAGGTGGATGTTTCTAGTTCTACCTTGCTATAGAATGTAGATTGATCCTCGTAATCTTTTCCATTTGTCAAAATAGGATTCTTTGGAAGCTTTTCTTGTATTATTCCAACACAATTTTCTTTACAAAAAAATAGTTTACAGGTTCATTTGGAAGAAGAAATAGCTGATGTTTTTAAAATTGTTTTGGGATCTTGATGAACAAAACCATATACTTAGTTTTCTTGAGTTTTGGCATTTGTGAGACCCGGGAATGGGAAATTTCCATTAGATTTTACAAAAACTTGGTTTAAACCAAGTAAAAGAGGATCCTGCCTTCAGACAGCTTGGTTTGTTTTTAAAAGGAATATCTGATCTTAAGCAACTTCAGAATTGTGCACCATATTATGTATATAATCTCGGTACATTGTATGATCATTGCACTATTACAGATTGTATATCGAGTGAATAAATTGATTTTATTTAGAGAGTCATAATTATGTTAACTTTCTGTAGCAGAAAGTCAAGAAGCCTAAGAGGTCAGTCTGGAAGTTTGGTTTGGACCTTACTCATCCAGTAGAAGATGGAATTTTTGATTCTGGAAATTTTGTAAGTATCACTATTCAGTTTTTATCATTGTAGTGTTCTTAATAATGATTAAATAATGTAATATTTGATTTTAACCTAAGCTCTATTCCTAGGGTACCTTCCCTAGTGAATATCTAGGGTTTTCTTCCCTAGTTGTGCATTTTTTCTGTTTTAAAATAGGAACAGTTTCTACGGGAGAAAGTTAAAGTCAATGGAAAAACTGGAAATCTTGGGAATGTTGTTCACATTGAACGTGTCAAAAATAAAATCACAGTCGTTTCTGAGAAACAGTTCTCAAAAAGGTTGGTATTTGTTTTCTATAATGTTTTAGTGAAATTATGATATTGAGTATTTTATAGAAAATTAAATCCTATTCTCTATATGCAAGAATAGTATGTTGATGAGGTCAGTGACATGTATTGAAAAGTACTTTGAACTTTACAAGGCCTATATAAGTTATTAATAATACCACTTTCGTAGGCTAGTTGTCAGTAATTTATTTGGAGAATACAGGCAAGTTATGTCTAGACCTCTTGTCCAGTCACTCATAGGCCCTGTAATCCAAATTGTATGTAAAATAATCACTAGGGATTCAGAAATGAAAGGTGATATCCTTGAGGATCTTACAGACGTGCAGATAAATACAAAAAGCAATTCTGTGATTGCTGTATTGAAAGTAGAGATAAGGAGGGCACAAATATTTGCAGAGAACCCGAGATAGCGTTTCCTGTGGAATGATTTATTCCTAGCAGAGGGGGCAGCATTAACAAAGGGCAGGGAGGCTTGAGGAATGATTGGTAGTAAGGAATTGCTGTAAAGTGTAAATGGAAGGGAGCGGCTGGAGTGATGAAGTTAAACCATGCTGAAAGCTTTTTATAAGCTTTTTACATGCTAGTTGCAAAACTTGATAATCTTGAACTTGTGAGTGGCTCTGTGCTGTAGACAAGTTGCTTATTGCTCCAACATGGTTGAGGTTAGGGGAGGTTAATAGTATAGGGAATGTTGACATATTAGTATAAGAAATTTTTGAAGAATGAAACTGTTTAGTTTAAAAAAATAATCTGGCAGACTGAAGAAGGTGCTGCTCTGTGCTGCTCTTCTACATACTGGCTTCCAATATAAGAATATTAGTTTATTTTAGGGAGATGGGAGAATAAGGGTTTTATAGGGTATAAACTGATGCTAATTGGGGTTGAAAGGCAACCTTATTTATATCCCTAGCAATCTTATACAATGGTTAATGCAAATAAAGTATTGGAGGGAACTGGGAACACAGAAGATTAATATAATAGTGTACATCTTCTATATGGTAAACTTTTCCATAGTAGGTATTATATTAATGAAATTGATGATTTTATTTTAAAGGTATTTGAAATATCTTACCAAGAAATACCTGAAGAAGAACAGTCTTCGTGATTGGCTTCGTGTGGTTGCATCTGACAAGGAAACGTACGAACTTCGTTACTTCCAGATTAGTCAAGATGAAGACGGATCTGAGTCTGAGGACTAGACAAAGCTGCCCTCTGTAGGATTTTGCTTATGAAACCAAATGAAACATACAAGAGAACATCTAGAGATGGGCTTAGTATATCAGTGAATAAAAAGTAATGTACTCTACGTTAAGCTTCTGTCTCATTTAAATGTATGCTGTTTACATGATGTTGGCTATCCTTGATAGTTTCTGTAAGCAATATTTAAATATAGCTAATGGAATTTTTTCCAGGATTTCTGAAGTTTATTGCTTTTACAAATGTTATCAGGTTAAAAATATGTAGCATTGTATAGGAAGTAATGAAGCACAATTAGGGGTATAACTCATAAAACATTTAAAACTTTTGACAGTCTCAGATATTTGTGTGCAGTTAGTAAATGTGCTGTCGAGTGCTTAGAACGGTTCTTGCATGTAGGTGCAGTGCTCAGTATTGAATCATTCGTGCCCTCTGCTTCAGAGGATGTTAACTTTCTAATTAGAATAAAGGCTCTGGAAGAACATGATACTGCTCTAAACCAGGGTTTAATTGCCTTTTAGAGATCTCCAACCAGATTCCTTGTAGGCAGTAGAAACCCAAAACCATCAAATCTGAATTCCTATCTTACCCACTAAATTTTACATATTCCTTGTCTGAAAAATTATAATTTACTCAGACAATTAGAATCTTTTCTCCTTAATCCTTGCTGATCATTCTAAAAATGTAGGTTATCTGTTACTTAAAACTCAATTGATGAACCTTTTCCCCCAAATAAATTGGCCTTTGACAGTTCTTTAAGCAGAATGGTTTGGCAAAATCCAGGTTGCAGCAGATGAGAATAATGGGAGGAAGGTGCTAGCACCATATAAATTTCTTTGATTTCCAAAGTGGTGGTGTCAATACCTTGGGTGCTTAGATGAGCCATGGTCCCTGGTACCAGTAGAAATGTTGCCAAATGGTCTTGATTATTCTAACCAAACAGAATTGGTTTGGGGAGTGTTTGAAATGAGTTTTAACTCTTGATTATTTTTTAAGAGTTCTCCATTGTTAACATACTGCCCTAATGTAGCAACTCTTCAGTTCTTTCCCAGATACTTGGTAATAACTTCCTAACCTAACTCTCCTATTCTTTGAATTGTTCATGTTTTCTACCAAAGTTACCAAATCCTACTGTGTGCTTCCTCTGCTGAGCATTGTGGATAAATGGAGTAAACACTCAACCTGATGTGTTAACGATATGGTGAAGGAAACTGTCCAAATAATCAAAAACGAGTCAATTGAAGAGAGGTTTGACATGGTCAAGGAAGGCTTTGAGGAAGTGTTTGAGCTGACCTAGAACAGGCAAGGTAATACCTGGGTAAAGGGAAAAAACGGGTGTTCAGGACGAGAACAGCTTGGTAAAGTTCCCAGAACACTGGAATCTGGCATGGAGTGGTTATAAGAAGAATCTTGAAAGGTAGACAGAAACCAGCCCATGCAATACAGAAGTCCATGTTTTAATCCTGGTGGAAATGGTTTTCAGTGGGGAAATACTGCCTGCAAGGGGGCAGGAGGCTATGGCAGTGTCCTGTTGATGGTAGATAAAGCTAAGATGTTGGAGATGGGGACAAGTTGGTAGATTTTAGAGATTTCTCAGGATAAAATATATATGGGACTTGGTGATGAACATCAGTGGTAAAGGAGGAGTGACATAACTGGCTAGATAATGACATTTGCTGAGTTTGATCACAATGGAAGAAGGCAAGAGTAGGGGAAATTTTTCATTTAGGCCATTCTGAATTTGAGGTCCAGAAAATGTCAACCATGAAGTTGAATATATAGGTCTAAAAGAATCTAGGTGAAGATGTTAGTCTTAGGCACATAAGTAGTAATAAACAGTGGGAATAGGTAAAATTGCCAGTGGAGAATGTAGAGTGAGGATCAAGTGTTGGAAACACTAACTGCTTCATTCCTTCACTAATCTCAAAAACATCTGTGCTGTTCACATGTTTAAAATTCTAAATTAATTTAACACTATGTACTAGGGCCCGGGTACACTGCCAAATGAGATAGGCATGTCTTCAAGGAATTGGCAGGTTAGTTGAGACGAGTAAAATCTATTTAACATAATTTATGTTGTGTTTAAAGAAGTCTAGTTCCTGTATTAGTCCCCTCCATTCTGCTTCCTCCTGTAGGTAGCCATTTAAAAAATTGTGGTTTATCATTCATGTTTTTAAAAGATATGCACCATTAGTTAAGTGTTAGCTTACTGTACTCATGTTTCTCCATGTTACTTTCTTTCACTTAGTATCCTGGAATCAATTGATCACTTCTGTGTGTGGACATACTGTAGTTTATCCAACCAGTTCCCTACTGATGGGCAATTTGAGTTGTTACAAACTTACTGCAGTGAATAGTGATGAATTAAAAGCCTTGTACCCAGGCTTTTTCTTATTTTTGCCATTAAATCATTGGAGTGGATTCCTAGAAGTGAGATTCCTAGGTCAAAAGAGAAAGGAATGCATAATTTCACTATACATTGCCATTTCCCTCCACGGGGGAATGTATCATTTTACCTTACCACTAACAGGATATGAAAATGTCCATTTTCCCACAGATTTACCAACAGATTGTATCGCCTAGTTTTGAGTTTTTTGGTCTACCTGATAGGTGAGACATAGTGTTAATTTACATTTCTCTTGTGAGTGAGGTTAAGTATCACTTAAGGACCATCTGCATTTCTTTTTCTTTATATCTCTATTATATGTAAGGGATTCTTGATCTTTTAGTCTTTATTTTTTGAAGCTGCCTCTGTATTAAGCCCTTGTCTATGATTAAGCTGTAAATTTTCAGTCATTTGAATTTTCCCCAGAAATGGAATTGCTAGATCCTATTTTTAATTTTTTGAGGAACTCCATACTATTTTCCATAGTGGCTGCACCAATTTACAATTCCACCAACACTGCACAAGTGTTCCCTTTTCTCCATATCCTCATCAACACTTGTTGCTAGCTATTCTGACAGGTGTGACAAACAGCAGGTCTTAAGTCAGAACTTTTCTGTCCCTTTTCTCAGCCCAACCCTAGGAGCCAAAGGCAGCTTCTGAAGTTGGGAGAGGGGCACACAAACTAATACCACTATCTTTTCTTTTTTCTTAAACTGCACTGCAGGTATTCTGACACTTTAACCAAATTTTCAGTTCAGTCGTTTTCCTCCCTCGCTAGACTGAATACCACACGGTCAAAGTTATCTCTGTGTGCATTTCTGGGTAAACAAACCCATATAACTACAAAAGAATCTCAAGCCAGGTAATTAACATAACTTCATAAGTGTGGAAGGATCAACCAAGGATCACCCCCAAAATGAATAAAACAACACCAAAGAAAAACAATTGAGATGAACGAATTCAAACAACTAACCCAGAAACAGAAATGCAAGGAACAGAAGTTTCCCTCGGCCTAAGGAAACCTGGATCCTCTTATTAAAAAAACTGACTGTATTTATTGTATGCCAGGCAGGATGCATGAAACAGTCATGCTTAGACACATCCTGAAGAAATTTCAGAACCCTAAAGGATAAAGAGAAATCCTAAAAGCTTCCAGAGAGAAAACATAACAGTTTACCTATCAAAAAATAATCTTGAATTCAAGACCTACCCAGAGTCTCACTAAGTTTAGCAGCAGGAACATCTGAGTTTTAGTCCTAAATTCTGAGTGTCTTATCTGTTCTCAGGCTTTGTGTCCTCTAAATGAAGAGACTAGGCCAGACGATTTCTGGAGTCTTTTTCAGCTCTGACCTCCTGCCAGTTCTTGTTGCTGAACTCCAAAGCCGACCTGGCCACTGGAGCTTCCCCTGGGAACCCCACCAAGCCCTTTCACTCCGTGACTCTACAACAGACACAGCCCATTTTTTGCTAACTTAGGCTTTAAATGAGCATGTGCGTTTACTTCCTGAACATATGCCGATTCATGAATTCATTCTTATTTCTTGAGACAGGAATAGTGTTTTCAAGTACAGTACTCTTTAAATAGAAAACACAATAAATATCTGCTTGATTGACCTATCAAAATTTTATGGGCATCTGCAGTGTCTTGCACCATGCAAAATCATAGAATTCAAAGAAGATCATTCAGATCTACTCCAGTGTTTATCAGTATGTGTAAAACAGGACTCTAGTTCATGTGTATATAATAGATATACAACAACAACAACAAAACCCAGGGGAAATTCGGTTAAGCAAAATTAAATATTTTCTCACTTCTCAGATCTTTTTTTGTGAATCTCAGTTCATTGGTGTACAAAAATATGCAGCATTTCCCAAACGTACTGTATCATAGAGCACTTTTATTTACCAACTCAAGAAACATTGAGTTTCTAGGTCTACCTACTGACATAAAAAATGCAATGGACAACATGTTAAATGGCACTAGAATTCAATCGACCATATCCAATATGTGAGAAATTCTACAAGATAACCAGTTTCCTCAACAACAAAGAAGTAGCATTAATCCAAAGGGATGGGATTGTTACAGAAAAGATTTGAGAAAAATCAATCAAATATAATTTGCAGGCCTTTATGGATCATAATTCAAACAAATGAAATGTAAATAGACATTTTTAAAATAAGCAAAGAAATTGAACATGAACTGGGTATTTAAAAATTTAATCATCAAATATTTTTAATTATTGTTAATTTTATTGGGTATGATAATAGTATTTAGGTTATGTTATTATCTGTTAAGAGTGTCAGCCTAAATAAAGAGGCAAACTAAGGTAAGCTCAAATTACCAGAAATTGAGTTTATTCAGAAATAGCAGAAGAATTGCAGTATGAGAAATGCATGCTGTAGCAAGCTACAGGCTAGTCTGTTGAGGACTTGGGGTGGGCTGTATTTATGGACAAGGAATGTAAAGTGGGGCAAGTCGAGGCAGAGTCCAAGCAGTAAATTCATTGGCTTGAGAGTAGGGAGAGATTATTGGTGGATATTTATTAGTCAGGAGATAAGTTTCTGTCTTCTGTAAATCAAGCATTTATGGGAAATCAGTCTCTCAGTTCCTAAGTTTCATTTTCCTGAGAGTGAATGTATAAGATTTTCCATCTCATACACTCTGGTCCCATTTTAGATTAAATTTCTTTCACAGGAGATACATACTTAAATACAACAGTCTTCTCCCT